ATGTGTCCTTGCTTACAAGTGGTTTTCCCTCACTTTGAAATTAACCATCTGTTTGATTCCTGAGTCTCCAGTCTCTGGCCTGCTCTGTTACACTCTGGCCATCCATAAGTTAGAGGCTGGTTATATCCAGTTGACAAATCATATGAACTTCAATGAAGACTAAGACTGAAAGGTGTTGTCAGGGAAATGTCTGATAGAAATAGATGATGGGATGGTCATGTGGCCAAGACAAAAGCAAAGGTGAAGGATGATAGGTTGGTAAATTAGATGCTGCGGTTATATGCTCAAACCAGGAGGAAGTGAATAAGGACTCCAGGACATCAGATGGGAACAATGTGGAAAACTTATGGAAGAATATGCAAGAGTATAAAAAGTAATCAATACAGAAACGTTTATGAAATTCCTTCTTTGTGTGAGGCACACTTCTGCTAGGTGCTAGTGATGCAAATGCAATTGATGAAACAATCCTTATTGGAAATCACCTTCCATTTTCAAGTAAGTAGAAAACATTGGATATGATCTGATAGCCATTGATGATGTGGTCCTCTCAATTAATGAGATCACAGACACATTTGAGTAAGAAATATTTGAGTGAACATTGTACTTCTTTATTTGTGTACATGCTCTTACCCTCAAGGAGAAAGTAAGCTACTTAATGTTAAGGACTCATTGGTTTTTGCCTTTGTATCCCTAGTGCCTAAACCAGTGCTTTGCTCATAACAAATTGTATATATATATAAATTTAATAAAAAATATTTAAACTGACCTGAACTGTATACAGATTCTTCTGTTAGGACATGTGAAAAGTTGTTCTTTTTTTTTTTTGTTTCTTTGTTTTGTTTTCCCTCTTACATCCATTAAGATAGATTGCTGTTGTTCAGTCATTTTTTAGTCATGTTCAACTCTTCGTGACCCCATTTGGTATTTTCTTGATGAAGATGCTAGAGTGGTTTGCCTTTTTCTTCTCCAGCTTATGGAACATATGAATAAACTGAAGGAAGCAGGGTTAGGTGTCTTACCCAGGGAAGACAGCTATTAAGTCTCTAAGGTTGGATTGGAACTCAGGTCTTCTTCATTCTAGGCTTGGTGCTTTATTCATTGCTCCACCTAGCTGCCCTATTAAGATGGGTAATTAAGTACAAAACACAAAGATATATAATGGATATCACCTCATGACAAATTATATAACTATAGATTGAACTTAAAAATGATGTGGACCGCACAAATATATTCACTCAACAAAGAGGGTCTGAGAAGGTGGGGTTGGAGGGCATCTGCTTTCATGGCTACTGCAGACTTTCAGGGAAATAAGACTGAAAACATAACTGTCCCAACCTGGCTAACTCTATGGGACAAAAAGAGCAACACCACCAGCTGGCACTCAAATCCAAGGAGCTGGGTGACTATACACTGAATAAGAAATAGAAACCTGGCATCTCTTACAATGACAACTACGTTGAGTTGACAACATTGATAAGACTAAGCCCAGAGGTTGTTTGAATTGCTTTGGAGCTATACTCACAAATAGCTGCATTTTATTCATCTCTGCATATGTCCTTTCCTTTACTTGAAGAACTCGCTGCTGCCAAAATGAAAAGTGATATAGTGGAAAGAATGTGGTATTTGGAATCAAAGAAGACCTGGGTTCAAATTTCAGCTCTACCATTTCCTATCAGTGTCATCTCAAACAAGTAATTAGGCTTTGGTGGCACTGGTTTTTATCCTTTGTAAAATCAGAAGTTGGGCTAGGACAGCCTCGGACATTTCTTCCAACTCTGAAACTATGATCGTTCTGTTCTTTGTAACTTGTGATCAAAGGCCCCTCTAAAGCACTGAGTTCCTAAAGAATGGCCTAAACCTCAGAAGTTGACCACAGAAGGTCAAGTTAAATGTAACTCCCACTTGCAGTTAACATAGGAAATCTCAAAAACAAAACTTAAGTGTGATACAAGTCTAGGTGTCCCCAAAAGCTGCTAACTACTATACAGGTTCTCAAGTACAAGAGCTGACAAAGACAATCTTATTTCATGCTATCCCAGGGCTTCAGTTGGTAACACATATACTACAAATTCTATCATCTTTAATCTTTGGAATAACATTGCTGAGGAAATATTCTAGGTTTTCAACTTTCCAGGGCTTTACCACAGGCACTCTCAAATTAGGGAGCTTTTTGTTACACACAGCTAAGAGAATCTAGTCTCCACATCTCTCTCTTTTTTTTTTTTCTTGTCCACAGAAAGAAAAGATGAAGGAGATGGTCAGGAAGTATAAGTACATCAACTCTGGCCACCTGGATTTACTATTCATAAATATGCTATTTTCCATGTGCTTCTCTTGAAAGTTCTTATTTTCTGATCCTTCTAGGGCCTTGGAGAGCTGGAGATGATTCTTCTAATGATAGTCTAACCTTCTAACCCTCATTCAATCATGGGATTTGACCTTAGACTCTGAAACCCAATCCATGAGGTGCCTATGGGATGATTGATAAAAACAAAAGCACGTAAGCAATGAGAACAATAATAAGAGGTTATTTTTACTGTTAATTGGAAAAATACTTGCAAATGCATTTCATTTTAACTTCATCTATTCAACATATTTAGAATCATACCATTGTTCATTAGTACTCATGACCCAAATTCTCTCCCTTATCCCCTTTTCTTGCTTCAAGGCACATTTTTAGTTTCACTTCATCCACAAAGTCTCAGGAACTTCTTTAGCCCCCAAGCATTATTGTATTTCTTCTCTGTCCACTTGTGTTCTCTTTTTAGAATTTTGAAGCTTTGGTGTTGGTTGGTTAATTTTTTTCCAATGAAACCAGTATGAGCAATGAGGCCTACACAATTATAACTTCTGACTCTCTCTCTCTCTCTCTCTCTCTTCTCTCTCTCTCTCTCTCTCTCTCTCTCTCTTTCTCTGTTTCTCTCTCTCTCCCTCTCGCTCGCTCTTGGCTGGCCATTTGGGGTTAAGTGACTTGCCCAAGATCACATAGCTAGTAAGTATCAAGTGTCTGGTCTGAGACCTGATTTGAACTCAGGTCTCCCTGACTCCAGGGCTGGTGCTCAATCTGCTGCACAACCTAGCTGCCCCCTGATTCTCTTTCATGATTTGTGATAGATACTGTTCATCTGAAGGTAAAATATGTCACGATTCCTGCCCTCGAAAGTAGTTTAGGTTCTATTTGTCCATCCATCTATCTATCTTTCTCTCTTTCTATCTATCTATCTATCTATCTATCTATCTATCTATCTATCTATTCTTCTGTAATCTATATATTATCTACCTTTGACAGGGGTATGATATTATGCACATAACATTTTACCTTTAGAAACTTTTAATCAATAGAGAACTTATTCACTTTCATTCTTGATTCTGATGAGATGGAAGAAGAAGAATAAAAAAAACAAGAAGAGTAGAAAAAGAAGAAAATGAAAGGAGAAGAACAGGAAGTAGCAGAACAACAATTAAGGGATCAAGAAGAATGAGAAGACAGGGCAGCTAGTGGCACAGTGGATAGAACACTGGCCCTGAAGTCATGAGGTCCTGAGTTTAAATCTGGCCTCAGACCAAACACTTTACATTTGTTAGCTGTGTGACCCTGGGCAAGTCACTTAACCTCAATTGCCCTAAAAAATAAAAAGAAAAAAAAAGAATGAGAAGCAAACATGTGAAACAGAGACAGAGACAGAGAGATGAAGTAAGAGAGTGAGCTAACAGGGAAAGGGCAGGGCTATATTTTGCCCCAAGCACTAGGTCAGAGCTGGAGGATTAGCATTTCTGTCAGTCTTCCCATCAGTGAACAAGCATTTCCATTTATGGTGCTTTGAGCAGGACATGGAACTTTTCTACTCTTCCTATGCTTGTTTTATCCTCAAAATAATTGCAATTGATGGCCTCTAGGAACCTTTAAGCTATAAATCCCATGTTACTCTGGCCCCCTATCAAATGCAAAAGGAAAATAATATCCAGGGACTTAACTGCCTTCAGTCTATAATCAGCTCAATCCCCTTCATCTCTTCTTCCATCCACAGTCCCGGATAGTCAATAATCATTGATGTTAAGGATTATATCCTTAGGGCCCCATAAGGTTATCAAAGAAAGATTCAATTATGGTGTACTAGATTGGACTGACCAAGGCAGAAATAATGCCACAGGCATTTACAAAGACTTAAAAACCCAGGTTGGAATTAAAAAGTCCTTTGGGAAACACTCAGTTAACCTAGGTTTGACCAAGCTTTGGGATTTCAAATAAAAGATAGAGAAAAAAGGATCAACATGAAAGAATATGAACATTTCCCTCCATTGGTTGAATTTCCAAAGGGAATAGATATTAACAGCCAGAGGTAGTAGCCACTAAGTTCAAATATTGAAACATAGCATGGTAATTCTGAGAGAAAATAGTGAGACATAATTACATTGGTGTGACTTTTACTTCATTTTATAAACCAAGGGTTATAGGATCATAGGTTTAAAGTTGGAAGTACAGTTGGAAGTAATTTAATCCAATACATTGTCTTAAATATGTGATAACTAAGGTCAAGAGAAATTAATTGCTTGGTTAGCATCATACTAGTAAGTGTCTAAATCAGGATTTGAACCCTGCTTACTCCAACTCCATGTCCCATGGTGTGTCTACCACACCAAATTGCATACTTCTTTTCCTTCTTGGTTCTCTCCCCTTGCTTTCCTTTACCTTATGATTCTCTCTGACCCTGGGACAATCATTATTCCTTTATTTGGCCTTGGGCCACCACTCTGGAAGCTCCCAACATCATGATACCCTTTCTTCAGGCCCCACTATCCCCCACAGCTATGGCTCCCACTTGCTGTTCCCACTATGCATTTCATCCTTGGATTTAAATGCTGTTGGTCAGAGTTTATATTTTTGGTCCCTGGTGTTCCCTTTTTCTAAGCTGTAGTTACTCCAGAAACCAGAATTCATAATTATAACCCTGATTAATTATAAATTATCTAGTTTCATTCCTTAATTCCCCAGATGAGGAAACTATGGCTCAGATTTGTATGATGTAACAGTGTTTGCAATATTTCTATAAAATCTGATTAAGTAGAAATTTCTGAGAATAGTTTTTGAGGCCCAATATAAATTGATTCCAACACCAAGTCTCTGATCATTTCTTCCCACAGATCCATTATTGCAATTTTCCCATTCTTTATTCTCTATACAATGATTAAGACACATAATATTTCCTTCCTTATTGTCTTTATTCCTATAGTAGCCATTCTGGGAATGCCTTCTTCTTTCAATTTTTTTCTCTCTGCTTATCAAAATTCCACTTGTACTTCTATGTTCACAATAGGTTCTACATAACTAATTAAGGTTTTCCTGACCACTAGAGGTGAAAGGGATATTTCTCTCCTGTTAGGTACTGTATATATTTCACCTTCCACTTCTTTTCTAATTATTTCCTGTGTATTAGCTTTCTCTGTTTTTAGTTTATTAGTGCCTCAAAGGCAAAGATCTTAGTATTCACTTACATCACCCAAAAAAGTTAACACAGGGGCGGAGCCAAGATGGCAGAGTGAAAGCAGTGACTTGCTTGAGCTCTCCCCCAAACCCCTCCAAATACTCATAAAAAATGGCTCTAAACAAATTCTGAAGCAGCAGAACCCACAAAAAGACAGAGTGAAACAAATTTCCAGCCCAAGACAACCTGGAGGATTGAGCAGAAAGGTGTATGGCCCCAGACTGAGAGCGCAGTGTGGGTGTGCAGGCCTCAGGGAACCTGAAGCAGGCTTCAGAGGACTGAATCTCAGGCAGCTGTGGAGGTTTCCAGACTCCTCAATCCACCAATGTCAAAGACAACTTAGAAGGTCAGTGGGAAAAGTCTGTTTCTGTCTGTGGTCAGAGAGGAAGGCAGGGTCTCAGCTCCATTCCCCAAGAGCATGGCCCTGGTGGGGGCAGCTGCTTCCCGAGATTCCGGACAACAGACTGAGGGGGAATCTAGTGGCTGATCAGAGAGGGACTGCAGGGATCTCTTTGCCAGTGCTGAGGCAGGAATCTCTCGATTTGCCCCTGTTTGCATCTGGGTCACAGTTCTAGGTGGCAGTGCTGGGGTGAGGAGGAACGCTGGTGGGGAGGAGCTTGGAGTGGCTGTGGAGAGGAACCCTTCCTCACAGTTACAGGACAGAAAGGAATATTTGTGGTCACAGGCCAGGAAAGGAGTAAAAACCTCGACCCTTGTCATACCACCTTGCAAGAACTGAAAATTCTGCAAGTATCTCTGAAAACAGCTGTACAAACCCCCTAAGATTGGGACAGTACATTCTCCACATTGGAAGCAGACTCTTACCTTAACGAAAAGTATAAAACTCAACTAATTGGCCAGGATCATGAGCAAGCAGCGCAAAAAGTAGTCATACCATAGAATCTTATTTTGGTGAAAAAGAAGATCAAAATATACAACCAGAAGAACAAAACAAAGTCAAAGCTCCTACATCCAAAGCCTCCAAGAAAAATATGAATCAGTCCCAGGCCTTGGAAGAGCTCAAAAGGGATTTTGAGAAGCAAGTAAGGGAAGTAGAGGAAAAACTGGGAAGAGAAATGAGAGTGATGCAAGAAAATCACGAAAAACAGGTCAACAGCTTGCTAAAGGAGACCCAGAAAAATACTGAAGAAAATAACACCTTAAAAAATAGCCTAACCCAAATGGCAAAAGAGGTCCAAAAAGTCAATGAGGAGAAAAATGCCTTAAAAAGAAAAATTGGCCAAATGGAAAAGGAAGTCCAAAGGATTACTGAAGAAAATACTTCCTTAAAAATTAGAATAGAGCAATTGGAACATACTGACTTTATGAGAAATCATGACACAGTAGAACAAATCCAAAAGAATGAAAAATTAGAAAACAATGTGAAATATCTCATTGGAAAAACAACTGACCTGGAAAATAGATCCAGGAGAGAGAATTTAAAAATTATTGGACTACCTGAAAGCCATGATCAAAAAAAGAGCCTAGACATCATCTTTCAAGAAATTATCAAGGAAAACTGCCCTGATATTAGAACCAGAGGGCAAAATAGAAATGAAAGAATCCACAGATCTCCTCCTGAAAGAGATCCCCAAAGGAAAACTCCTAGGAAATATAGCCAAATTCCAGAGTTCCCAGGTCAAGGAGAAAATATTACAAGCTGCCAGAAGGAAACAATTCAAGTACTGTGGAAACACAATCAGGATAACACAAGATTTAGCAGCTTCTACATTAAAGGATGCAGGGCATGGAATATAATATTCTGGAGGGCAAAGGAGATAGGATTACAACCAAGAATCACCTACCCAGCAAAACTGAGTATAATCCTTCAGGGGAAAAAATGGTCATTCAGTGAAATAGAGGACTTTCAAGCATTCTTGATGAAAAGACCAGAGCTGAATAGAAAATCTGACTTTCAAATACAGGACTCAAGTGGAACATGAAGAGGTAAACAGGAAAGAGAAATCATAAGAGACTTATTAAGATTGAACTGTTTACATTCCTGCATGGAAAGATG